CAAACCACTTAATCTCCCTCCCTACGACGAACACAAGAACAACCAACCAGATAATCCCAAACAACCGCATGTATGAGTACAAGCGTATATACAACAGACAAAAAAGCACTCGAGAAAACGTTCTTCTTTCTTCCCTTCTTCTATTCTTTCAATTCCACACACACACAAGCACAAACACATTCAACCCGCATCATCAACCGGAAACCCAACCCAAAAACCCACGCAATATACCAGACAACAGAAACAATAACAATCACATCCTATCAGCTACACATTCCCCACACTTCACTCCCCAAATCACGTAGCTGACGCATCCCGGTTCCATCCGGCATAATTAACGGGGTACATTGGGCTCCCCCTAATCAACGCGCGAAGTCGAATGCATATGCGTTGCCGATGCGAATTTACTGCTGGGCAGCAGCGCGCTCGGCCTCGAGGCGGGTGTAGTAGTCGTCACGGGCGCGAACGCGGGGAAGGTGGAAGCCTATATAGTGGTTTTTCGTTAGTGGCTGTTGAATTACTTCTGCGATGTGGTTTGCTGGAAGGGAAGGAGGAGAGATTAAAGGAAGGTCTGTTGTATACGTACCGTACCACCAGAGGTAGCCGAAAGTGGTACCGAAACCTGCGAAGTAATCAGTCAGTCAGTCAATTGTTCCTCTAGATCGGTCCCGGTTGGTATTTTGCGCGCGGGGCGGATGTCGATGTAACAATGCTTGTATGCAATTCGAATATATGGGTAGAAAGGAATCATATGAAGATATCTCGGGTCAATGGAAGCGCGGGGTCGTAGGCGGACTCACCGAAAGCGGTGCTCAGGTCAAGGACCAGAGTGCGGCGGAGCATCTGAAGTGCAAAATGTTAGCTTGTAGGGTTCCAAATCTGGGGGAGGCCATGGGGTTGTGGATGTGGTCCCGGGTGGGTTGGGTAGGAGGGTGGACGTACGCCGGTGATGGGAGCAACGGAGGCCATTGTGAGATATTAGTGTCTTCAGACAGATCTGAGGAACGGGTAGAGAAGATTCGCGCAAGAATTGACCTGCTGAGGTGGTGGTGGGGGGTTGCGGAGAGGAGAGGAGAGGAGAGGGAAAGCGAGCGGTGATGTCGAGAGTGAAAGTCGAGGTGAAGCTTTCCGGGCCGGCGTGTAGTAAGCGACGGCTGTGAGTGGCCTGACTTTTGATGGTGGGTTACTGCTGCGAACGTTTGGTGATAGCCCGAATACTACACAGTTTACAAGGGGGGGTATATATATGAGTTTGGTTATTTTTATCTAGATCTATGAGTCTTATTATTATAATTCTGGTTTACCAGGTCCTGATTGAGCATTGAAGCTGATGACTAGGCTGTAGTGGTATCTGCCTCAGGCAAGTACACGTGACCTCACGCGGTTCTTGTGTTTGGCGCCGTTTCTGGATCTCTCCCCATCCATCCATCAAGACCACCGGCGCCATGGTCTCCTCGGAACCCACTGTCAAACGATCTTCTTCCTCCCTGCCAGAAGGTCCAGATGCCCCTGATGTAAAACGAACGAAACGCCCTTATCACCATCATCATCGCCTACAAAGTCCGGTCGCCCCAGCGTTGCCGGAACCCGCTATTGTCGACGAGGCCTGCATCGACCACGTCCTCAACCGGTCTATTGGACAATATCTACAAGAATGCGGATTTGATATCGCCGACCCTGCAGCGCTGGACGCCTTTCGCAGGGTAACGGAGGAATGTACGTTGGGAACCTAGGTCCCAGAAGGAATCGTTCATGATATTGATGGATTTGGTCACTAGATCTGCTGAGATTCGCCTCATATGTGCGCCAAGCGATGCTCTCCAGCCGGCGCATACAACCTATCCCCCAAGACTTTGAATATGCCTTGAAAAGACAGTCCGTGCCGGTTAGCGACCTCCTTCCGCACGTGAAACGCCATCCAAACATCGAACCTATCCCCACCCTCCTACCAAGTCCTCCGCCGGAAGAGGACTCGTTCAAGACTTTGCCCTCCTTAGGGCCACAGCTCAGCGGCGAAGACGATCGCGTTCATAACGCCCATATCCCGAAACATTTCCCTGATTTTCCTAGTAAACACACGTATCGTCACACACCGGTTTTCACAGAACGAGAGCAAGATCCGCGCGTTATTCGAGAGCGAGCAACGGAAGATGGTCGGCATGGCGAGGAGGCGCTGCGCAAGTTGGCTCGTGCGGCGTTCAAAGACAACAATTCTGGCTCATCGGTCCGGGATAAGAAGCAATGGGGACGACGAGCGGAGAGTATGGATGGAATGTTTGAGAAGACTGTTAGAGCACTCGCGAAGAAGATACAGAAGCCCGGGACGGGCCCTGACTCTGCTGGCCCCATGGAGATCGACTCGGGAGCTGGTGCAGATAAAGCCTCCCGCTCGAAGCTGGCGTTGAACATAGAGCTGCCTCCTATCATCAACTGCGAGAGAGACCTGTGGCGACGGGCGCCTACATCTGGGAGCCGACGAACGGAGGAAAACAAGCTATCAAGTGCAAAGGATACGCCCGATATGTCGAGGGTGGATAGCTGGGTGAATGCATCATGAGGTGTAGGATAGGCAGAGGCGTCAGGCGTTCAGCTTTTTCATCGTAGCATAACCGAGAAGATACCCATGGAGCAGGATGTCAAATAATGCAACTCAATTGGTTAATCACATAGCCTTAACTGCCACGGTGATTATCAGTAGACTGAACGCCAGTTCAACTCCTTGCCATGCATGTAAATCGAAAGGAGACTTCCATCAGGCCGTTGAGCTGCTCTCCGCAGCACGTTTGCGCTCCGCTTCTTCTTTCGCTATCCTGATCGGCTCCCAAGCAGTCGTTTCCACCGTTAATCCGCCAGCGCATCTAAGATGAAGTAATTGTCAGCATTGGACCTTACCCTTGAGCCCATAGCGAATGGGTAACTCACCGACGAAACAGCCTCACAATCGGCTTACAATTCACCACACCCGGCTTAGGAATCCCCTCTTGCGGCGGATTGCACGAGTATTGGACCATCTCCAGCAGTTTGCATTTCTCCAGCTCGACAGGACCGCCTTTGCGACGCTTCTCTTGGAAGTTCTTGGTAACGATGTTGACGTGGTCTGGAAGACTCTCGGCGGAGAAAACGGGGACAAGAGGAGCCATGGTGATATATTTGTCTTGCTATGGTTCTGAATAATGTCCTCTAAGTATGGTGGCTTGAACAATTCATGCGCAGCTGGGAATAATGGCGAGCGAGATATATGGTACTGGGGAGAGGAAGAAAAGTGGATGGAGCGGAAGCGTTCGCGTTCGCCGGCGCCGCGATCCATCCTTAACCAGTTATCGTCACAACGGGCCAGCCCGCGGTGGTTTTGTGATTCTATCAACTCCTAGAGAGGGTCGGAGTCAACCACTACTTACACTCTATTTCACTGGACAATGTCGAGCTTTGTCACATTTGTAGGATATTGCAATTGTGTCAAATGGCTGCTAACTTTGGGGGAGAGCTTCTTGGGGAGGTGTATGAGGAGAGACTTGACGAGGTATGTATGCATCGGTGTTTCGGTTTACTGCATGGTTCTGCATCATAGTATTAATTTTCGTTGTGGATACTTTCCTGGAAAAACTTGCTGAATTGATGCTAACATGAGAAGCTTCTGCACGACCTAAGAAACCTATCACATGGGATTGGTGATAGTGATACCTTGAGGCCTAGATTGGGTGTTCAAGTGCTTGATGATCTTCTGGGTGTTTTCACAACACCCGCCCCTGCTGCACAGAACATACATCTGGAAGGGGATCTGCAACATGATAATTCTGGGGATACCCAGGGAGCAGACTCTTATGGAAATGAGGGCGAGCTCCCGGCTCAAGGCGAACTTATCAACGATGAGCATGTGGGCATGCATAGTTTGCCGATGTTGAACAGCAACCGCACAGAACCAGTCCTGGAGATCTCTAGCAAGCTATCTGCAGCTGGAAAGTCGCATCTCCTGTACTATCTCGCTGCAGTCGCCATCTTACCATCCGTGTTCAAAGGCGTCCCGCTCGGTGGGCATGAATCGGCGGTGATATTCATTGACACGGACGGTCGATTTGATGCTGAGCGGCTGAAATCGGTGGTCAGAGGGATTGTTCAGGCCAAAATTGACTCACTAGCCCAGGGATCATCTGAAACTTCATCTGAAGCGGACAATAAGGATATCGAAACTATGCTTGTCGCCAGTCTGCAACATGTCCACGTCTTCCGTCCACAATCATCAGCTGCTCTCCTTGCTACATTTCAAAACCTGGATGCCTACATTCTTGACTTACCTCGCCATTTGTCCTCCACCAGACCTGTGCATACTATCTACCTGGATAGTGCCAATGCGTTCTTCTGGCAGGATAGATTACAAGACGAAATTGCCCGAGTGGAAGATATCGGGCGGGTCGATGCTGACTCGGAGCATGAGCGTACTCGGAAACAACGGTTCCAGATTTCAGATCTATATGCTGCCTTTGTAGCTGAACTGAAAAGATTACAGCGAATTTTAGGTTGCATGGTGGTTTACACCACCACTGTTCAAGGAAGATTCCACGGTGCTCGTGGTGGTAACCCAGCGTATACGCCGTCAGGACCGTACGACTTATATAACCCACGTCCCTCTGTGCAAAAGACACCTTCTTTTGGGTCTGATCTGCCAGCTCCTTGGGGTCGGTTCCCAACTCTACGAGTTGTTGTTCAACGTGATTCAGTTCGTCCCTTTCCGCGTACCATGACCGCACAAAATGCGCAGCGCGGTGCGCCTCGTCGACAGGTAGTTGTCAGTCGCGGAAGGTTTTCCGGATGGGTAAATGAATGGAGACGCGATGAATGGCCTCGTAGGGTTCTGGAGGGCTTGAAACAAAAGAATGGCGGCAAATTCGCCTTTCGCATAGGAAGAGACGGGGTCGACATCGGTTGATACATTTCTCATCTAGCTATGTACACTGTACAGACGTGTTTGAGACAGTGGCCCCAGGCAGATTCATCATGCTTTCTTAACTGAACAACTTTCCAATGGCCTCAACCGTGGTGTTTCCACCGCTGAACACGATGCCTACATCCCAACCCTCAGGAGCCTCCTTCTCGACCAGTCGTCGGAACTCCTCGTTGTATAGGCAAACGGCCAAACCCACCACAGCGCTTGGCTCCACCACTACCTTCATGCGTTCTAGGACCAGACGCATTGCCGCCTTGATCTGCTCCTCCGTCACAGCATATACACCAGCGACCTTGTTCCGGTTCGAGATCACCTCCCAATTCAACAAGCCAACCGGTGTCCGCAAGCCGTCCGCGATGGTCAGTGTCGACACTGCCGGAACCCGCTCCCCGGCTTCCAGTCCGCGCCGGCAATCGTCTGCACCTTCAAAACTGGGTTCCGCACCAAACACTTTGGTTGTCTTGTCCGAGAAGAAAGTTGCAACACCGGAATTGAGACCGCCTCCACCGACGGGTGTGAAGACAGCATCGAGAGCTTTGGAACTCTGGCGGATGCTCAGATGTGGCTTCTCAGCCAGCAGCTCCCTGTACTGCTCCTCAAGTTCGAGAGCCGTAGTACCCTGGCCGCAGATGATATTGAAGTCATCATAGGGCGGGATCAGAATGGCACCGGTCTTGGCCTGCACATCAGCGACGACAGCTTCGCGCTCGACGCTCGTTGAGCCACTGAAAATGACCTCTGCACCGTGGGAGCGCGTCCCAGCGATCTTAGAGGGTGTGCTAATACTGGGCATGATAATGTAGGCGGGAACACCAAGAGTGGCGGCGGCGAGAGCGAGAGCTTGAGCGTGGTTTCCTACACAAATCGGTAAATAAGGTGTCGCTTCATTCCCAAGTGTTTAAGCCTACCAGAGCTGTGGGTGATGACACCCCGTTTCTGTACATCCTCCTTCCCCCGTTCGGTGATGAGTCGTAACAGAGCATGGAAGGCTCCTCGGGCCTTGAAGGCGCCTATCCGTTGGTAGTTCTCGCATTTGAAGAAGAAGCGGAACTTGGGATTGGCAGGAGCTTGGCCCTCAAAGGAGGTACCGGTCAATGCCTCCGGAGATTGCGGCGCAGAGGCAATGGTGTTGAGGGTTTGGCAAGTGAGGAGAGGCGTGCGGTGCACATAGGGTTGGATGAGGGAGTAGGCATCATGAATAGCTGAAGGGGTCAAAGATTGCACGAGCACGGAAGGGTCAGTCATTCTGAAAGACTTGATTGTCTATAGACTGACTTCCAATGGTAGAGTACTGATTCCGATGACTCAGTGGTATAGTAGTATGATAGAGTTGCGGAGAAAAGGGCAAAGGGGAAAAGGCCGGGTGATAAGCGGCATCCGAGTCGGCACTGGGGATATATCTCCGCCATCGGACCCCCGCATTGCGCCAACACAATCGAAATTGGGAAAATGCAAGGAGTTGAGATTGCAGAACATCAGCTAAGGCTGAGGTTAAAATTGAAGTAAATCTAATTTGCAGAAAAGTCATCTCTATGGCGCGGCATATGTTGGACAGTCATTTTACTCCGATAGCAACAATGCCCGATTAGGACTAGTGCGCTGTCATGCCGCATCTTCCCCGCCACGTGACTGTGGCCGAATCGGGCAAGGGCAGGAGGGGCAAAAGAAAGACTGAATAGATTCATCTCGTCGCTCCCTGATTCACTTCCCCTCGTTGCGCTTCCTTTCCAAACCCCCTCCACATTCCTTGAACAGATTGCAATCATGGCCGAGGAGCAGTCGCACACCGCGCAAGAGCAGGATATCAATCCTTGGTCCGTGGAGGGTGCCCGCGACGAGAACGGAGAGGTGGTCGCCATCAACTATGAGGCCATCTGTCGGTATGTGTTACCCCGCCATTGAAGCGCTTATTGCAATCCACGCAACAACCCACTAATCACCTCTAATTCCAGGAAATGGAACACCTCCATCATTGACGACAAGCTCCTTGAGCGCTTCGAGAAGGTGACCGGACACAAGCCGCATCGCTGGCTCCGACGCGGCCTGTTCTTCAGTCACCGCGACTTCGACCGCATCCTGACCCTCTACGAGCGTGGCGAGCCTTTCTTCCTTTACACCGGTCGTGGCCCCAGTACCGGCAGTCTGCATCTGGGTCACACCATCCCCCTGCAGTTCACTAAGTGGCTGCAGGATGTTTTCGACGTCCCCTTGGTCTTCATGCTTACGGACGACGAGAAGGCTTTGTTCAAGGATAGCATAACGTTTGAGGATGCCATGCACTTCGCCATGGAGAACGCCAAGGACATTATTGCCCTGGGATTTGATCTCAAGAAGACCTTCATTTACAGCGACTTGAAGTATGTTAGCAACCACTTCCTCATGAACGCCTGGGAGTTCGGAAAGCTGGTCACTTTCAACCAAGTCCGTGGTGCGTTCGGCTTCAACGAGAGGTATGTCAATTTACCCAATCCATATAAACTTTATCGGGAGACTAATAAATCGCAGCACCAACATCGGTCGCATCTTCTTCCCCTCCCTTCAGTGTGTCGCCGCTTTCGCTACCTCCTACCCTGAGATCTGGAAGGACGAGCCCTCCACCGAGCGTACCCAGGAGATTGCCAACATCCAGTGCTTGATCCCTATGGGTATCGACCAGGATCCCTACTTCCGTCTGCTCCGTGACAACGCCCACCGCATGCGTTTCCCCTCTCCCAAACCCGCCTTGATCCACTCCAAGTTCCTCACGGCCCTGCAAGGAGCAGGCGGCAAGATGTCCTCCTCCGACCCCAACTCGGCCATCTTCATGACCGACACTCCCAAGCAGATCAAGGTAAGAGTGCTAGGCCCCACCAATTTGCTTTCTGCATACTAACAGATCGCGCACAATCCAGACCAAGATCAACAAGTACGCCTTCAGCGGTGGCCAAGTGAGCATCGAGGACCACCGCCGCCTGGGAGGAAACCCCGACGTCGACGTTTCCTACGTCTACCTTACCTACTTTGAGGAGGACGACGCCAAGCTGGAAGAGATCTACAAGAACTACAAGAGCGGTGAGCTCCTGACCGGTGAGCTCAAGAAGATGACCATCGAGGTGCTGCAGCAGTATGTTGCTGCGTTCCAGGAGAAGAGAAAGGAAGTTACCGACGAGGTGCTGGCGGCGTACATGAAGCCCCGCAAGCTGGAGTGGAAGGGCAACCCCAACCCCGTTCCGGCCCCTGCCCCTGCCATCCGCACTAAGAAGGAAAAGGAAAGCGCGTGACTAGTGAACCTCGATTGTGGAGTGAGTGGCTGGCTGCAGAATGGGATTTACGATGCTGGGGTTAGATCCATATACCGTTGTCTAATATCCAAGCGAAGACATGAAAGCGTTGAAATAAATAGATTTGGTGTTCGGTTGCATTGTGTATAGATTGTATTCATTATCCTATTTCAAGGATTTCCAGACATCAATTAATTGATACTCAGCAAAAAAATGTAAATAATGACAATGTCCTTGGTAAGAAAGTCATCGTCAATGCAGATCGGATCGCGGGGAAATCTGGCCCCGGATGATCTGCCGCCCGTTGCAATTTTCCTAGTCGATGACTCATGACCACCTCTTTCCTACAAGTGCTACTCCACACAACTACAATTGATACTTAATTGAGGAAAAGAATATGAAGAAAGAATAAGAAAAATTTTATTCCGGCCCGATATACAACCCAGTTATAATAAGAAACTCGACTGAAAACAATTCCCTAGATCATGGTACATCGTAACTTTTCCCACCGGGGATATGCTAATAACACATTATGAATAGATTTACTTCTGGTTCTCGGGGCGGAGGGAGCTATAAAAAATAGAAATGTTAGCGAATGCTCAATTGATATAAGTATTATGGGAGGGGTATGTAGTAACGTACCGAACGGCCTTGCCGGCGCGCCAGATTTCGAGATCACGGATGTCCTGCATCTCCTTCTCGTACTTCTCGCGGTAGTCCTTCTGGGAGTTGTACTCGAGCGAGCGCTTGGTCTCGGAGCCATCACGGACGCTGTCGTAGAGCTCGTTGAAGAGGGGCTTCAGGTTGTCCTTGAAGCGGTTGGACCAGTCGAGGGCACCACGACGGGCGGTGGTGGAGCAAGCGGCGTACATCCAGTCCATGCCGTTGGCACCGATGAGAGGGTAGAGGGACTGGGTAGCCTCCTCGACGGTCTCGTTGAAAGCCTCGGAGGGGGAGTGGCCACGCTCACGGAGGACCTCGTACTGAGCGAGGAACATACCGTGGATACCACCCATGAGGCAACCACGCTCACCGTAGAGGTCGGAGTAGACCTCCTTCTCGAAGGTGGTCTCGTAGAGGTAGCCGGAACCGACGGCGACACCCATGGCAATGGCACGCTCCTTGGCCTGGCCGGTGACGTCCTGGAAGACGGCGACGGAGGAGTTGATACCACGGCCCTCACGGAAGAGGGTACGGACGGTACGGCCGGAACCCTTGGGGGCGACGAGGATGACGTCGACGTCGGTGGGAACATCGACCTTGGTGAGGTCCTTGAAGACGGGGGAGAAACCGTGGGAGAAGTAGAGAGTCTTGCCCTTGGTGATGAGGGGCTTCAGGGTGGGCCAGGTCTCGGACTGAGCGGCGTCGGAGAGCAGGTTCATGATGATGGTACCCTTCTGGACAGCCTCGGTGACATCGAACAGGTTCTTGCCGGGAACCCAGCCGTCCTGGATGGCCTCCTTCCAGGAAGCACCATCCTTACGGACACCGACAATGACGTTCAGACCCTGGTCACGGAGGTTGAGACCCTGACCGTGACCCTGGGAGCCGTAGCCGATCAGGGCAAGGGTGTCGTTCTTGAAGTACTCCTGGAGCTTCTCACGGGGCCAGTCCTCACGCTCGTAGACGGTCTCCTTGTCATCGGCGAAGGTGATGGTCTTAACACCGCGGGAGGGGACGACGGGGGTGGCGGTCACACGGGGGAGAGCGGCGGAGGCAGCCTTGGCCAGGGAGGGACGGGGGAGGGCAGCAGTCACGACGGACCGGGGGGCCGAGACGCGGGCCAGGCGGAGGGCACGGGGAAGTCCACGGGAGGCCATTGTGTGAAGAGGATGTGAGAGGAAGAGGGGAGAGGGTGAGATGGAAAGATAGGAAGTGAAGAAATTGGATGGGAAAGAGGAAAAGGGAAGAGGGAGGAGGGAAGCAGCCGGTTGCAACTTTATAAACTCGTTGCTGGGGACGAGATCGGCCTGCTCTGGGGCACGTGATCCGGAGTTGGACTGCCACTCCCCGGCCGATGTCGGATTGCCGGGCATTTGATTGGTCAATGGCTGCGCGTTCCGTGGACGTGGAGATCACCTGAGGCGCGGGCCTTGCCGCTTCGGGGTTAGTATGTCGCCGCTCGCTACGGGGAAGTCACCTGACACGCAGCTGGGCTTTTCTTTCCTGTTGCAGCTTTTGATGCCCCAGATGGAGTCTGGGGAAAGACAACTCGGTGACTCACGCACCTTGACTCAGTGCTGGTGATGGAGCTATACAGACATTTAACCGGATTGGCTGTCCGAGGACTGTATGTTTCGACGCTAAGAGGTTCTCCAAGGCCTAGAAGACCCCGTTTCATGTGTTAGCTAGCTAGCTAGCTAGATTCTTGGCATGTTGAGTCACATTAAATATTGATATAGAGTATACTGGGAGGATTTCAATGACTAAAATGTAGAATGCCGAGATAGGAGTTTAGTTTTGGAAGCTTATAACATTATAATTGTACATTTAACCCAATTCTAGTACATGCCAGGATCATAACATTTGGCAGGACTGGTCACCACAATATTATCCGAGATAAATATGTTTTTTCCTTTGGCTTGAAGCGTAGTGTTCTCCAAATCAAACCATTGGGAACATATCGGCTCTGAGAATACCTCGCAACATAGTACCGATCAATAAGTTGATGACAATCATCGAAAGCCAGAATAAAAACCATATATACCTTACTGCATCCTCGATTGCTTTTACCCTTAGCTTGGCGATGATGACTGATCGACAGCGTATAGAAAATCGGATTTGAATGTAATATAGCGGAACATGATCATGCGGCCTTTGTTGATGTTGGACAGTTCTGTTTGAAACCCCGTCCAGAGTCTCGCATCAGCCTTGAGTAACCCTGATGACTAGTATAGGAAGCACACTGCTGTCAGCACTGCAATGATTTCTTACGGGTGAGGTAGCAGGAGATATGGTATGCTCGACACTAGGAAGCCACGGCGTCTCAATGTATCCCCCATTCCCCTCACTCCCTTAGACGTAGAGGGATACCATACATATGGAGCATTATCATGTCCATAGTTCTCATCTATAGCAAGCATCCATAGACAGCAAGAGGACAAGAAAGAGTTTCACACAAGAGCAGCTTCGCCCTTCCATCTTTTTCTGCCCTTGGCGTTAGGGCATCTCAGCCCACAAAATACTACAGATGGGGAAGCTTATGCTAAACCTCAGTTATATAGACCGTGGTCGAAATGAATCCCCACTTTCTTCTTCGAGAGAAAGGTTATCACCCAATCTGCACCTCTATATCTGTCGTCACTCTTATATTCTCAAGTTCAATCGCATTCCCAGACCAATGACAGGTCCTCCCCCCAATTGCACACCCGCCTCGTATTCCTTTTCGACCATCAAAACAGTCGTGATCAATACCACCAGACCAAGTTGTGCCGGTCGAAAAATGCCCTAAACTTGAAGTCGTCCGCTGTTTGTGACCCGTCGATGTACATCGTGGAAACATTCCGCGGATGATTGGGAGACAGGAAACGACTAGCCCGACAGATGGCTCGATATGGGTCCATAGAGTGGCGTCGTAGATAGTATCTAATCCAAGTCAACCTGCTTCTCAATCTTTTAGTTTCATGATGAAGAATCTCACATGTCACGTCCTTCAAGTCGATGTAGAATAGAACTATTATTCGATATATACTTGCGAAACATACACTATCAAGGGGAAGAAGGTATAAGAAATTAGTCCTTCATTAAGGGTATGCAAGCAAGAAGCCAATGTCAACTCACAATCCACCTAGCGCGAAAACGGCGTTCAAAGCCAGCTTATCCTGCCAGGAGCGATGCAGTCTCCAAATCATAGGTATCGGGACTGCGAGGATGACAAAGTCCATGACCACGTTGAAAGCCTGATTGACAATGATGAAAGTGGTCGCGCTGAAGCAGTGTCCCTGGACATTTATATCCCAGTAGGCGCGAAGCGGGCGGCATTGCAATGCACAGGCCATGAAGATACCCGAAGACCATGCGGTAATGAGGATATTCAGGCAGAAGGTGAAGCGAAGGAAGCGTTTAGTAGTGAAGAGGCGGCGGTAGAAACAGATGAAGGAAATCTTGATTACCGGGGTCAAGACGAAATAGGTGAATTGGCTAGACAGGAATATCTAGTTGAACCTCAGTGAGGGCTTGAAGAACAAGGCTGCGGAGGGTAATGTATCCTAAGTGAAACACCCACTTTATAGAACAGTGTAATGGCCCTAGTATCGAGATCAGATAAATGGTAGCCATTCCCACCAATGAAACACCCTGATACGATTCATCCAGTCAGACAGATGCTATTGAGAGCATCCAGAAGCTTACACAGAATCAGCTCAATCAACATCCCCAGCATCAATATGACAGCCACGAAGCAAAGACAATCGTCTACTCCGAAACCAGTGCGCCGCTTGACTCTGGCAGCAAATCGTAAAGCCATACTGAGGCACGCAAGGCCGACCAGGACGGAGACAATCACAATCATCTCCTTCCCCTTGGCGCTGGGGCCCATCCTGATTCACAGATGACGCGCAATGAGCCTCAAGGAGGAGCGAAAGGCAACATGAGTGAGGAGCTGCGGGGAATCAAGTCAGCTTTGGGTCCCATTAGGCTTTTATTGCGTTCTGGGATCAGATACTCTTTCTTCCGATGGGGTTGTGCAATGTAACCCCTAGTGACTGCTTATGAACGGGAGGGACGGGCTGGCAATCCCCGTCAGTGGCTTTCTTCCATCAAATCCCTGTGTCACCAGCCCACGTCCTTCTTCCACCTGCTCACCACTAAGCAAAACTAGCAAGTCGTTTTCCATCCTTACATCCTGTGTGACCGATCATGGATCCTTCTTCCACGGCTATCGCAGCCTCTGTCGTCAAGGTTCCTCTGCTCATCAACTGCTGAGAGTATAGCGGCTCGCACCCGTTCGAAGTCGAGAGCCCTGTGACCGGCGAGACTTGCTGGGAAGCAGCATGTGCTACGTTTGCCGATACGACGACGGCTATTGAGACAGCGAAGGCAGCATTTCCAGCGTGGGCTCGTACCAAGCCCGCCGTCAGACGTTATATCCTGCTTGAGACAGCCAATGTTCTCGAGAGACGTCGGAGAGAATTCGCAAATATTTGCTATTGAGACGGGTGCTTACGTTGAGGCCATCAAGGGTTTTGTCATTCCTCTTGCGAGCAGTATGCTGAGGGATATTGCAGGTCGCATACCTTCAATCTGTGGGAGTGTGCCGGTGGTTGAAGGAGAAGGTCAGAGTGCAATTGTCTTCAAGGAGCCCATGGGTGCCATATTAGGGATGGTGCCCAGGTAGGGAAAGCTGATCGTATTACACCAGTCGCCAGTCTTGCTAATAACGGATATCTGTAGTACTGCCCCTTATATATCCGGGATTCGTGCGGCAGCCTGCGCTCTCGCAGCTGGAAATACTTACCGCTGTCCTTTTGTCTTCAACGCAGACTCCGCGATGATTTTTATTGGTCCATTGGTCGCGCTTTTTGGGAAGCAGGCCTTCCGGATGGATGCTTGAATGTCATATCTACCTGCCGAGAGGATATGCCTTAAATTATGAATGCTATGTTTGAGCATCCGGCGATACGGAAGGTGAATTCCACGGGGAGTATATATGTGGGGAGAAAGATTGCTGCTATTTGTGGCATGAACCTCAAGCCATCGTTGATCGATACTATGGGGCAGAACTATGCCATTGTTTGTGCGGATGCTGATGTTCCGGTTACTGTGGAGGGCGTGCTGGCTGGAGTTATGTTGAATGTACGATTTGTCGTTCATTCTCATCGGTGAGAATACATTACTGATTAAGGATAGTCCTATCGAATCTACATGTCAACTGGTCGCATCCTCGCTGATGCCTCTATTGCCGAAGAATTCATGGATGCCCTGAAATATGCTCTGAGCATGACGGATACCCAAGTGCTTCCGCCCATATTCGTCAATGCACTTATAAAGACTCGCCTGGAGAGCATGATTACGAGCGCTGTGGAATGTGGAGCCGAGTTACTCCATGGAAAGCTTGAGATAGAACCAAGCTGTGACGGCATTCTGAGTATTGGCCCGTTCGTGCTCGCTAATGTTAAGCCAAACATGAGAGTGTGGCTCGAGGGGGAATATACTACATTGACGGCTTGCATGCTTGTCAGGAGCGACGATGAAGCTGTCAGAATTACCAACAGTGCTGGATACGGCAGCTCAGCTTCCGTATTCACGAAAGACCTTCGTAAAGGTCTTGCAATAGCTAAGCAGCTGGAGTTTGGGTATGTTACTTACCTGAGTAGATGAGAATGACTAAGCAGAGATACTTACTGATCCAGCGCTGTGCATATAAATGGTATGAATATGCATGTTGAACCGGTCCTTCCATGCGGTGGAATCAAGGACTCCTGTTGGGGGCGATTCAATGCAGAGGAGGGATTGAATGAGTACCTTGTGACTAAGTCTGTGACTTGGAAGGATTGAGGCAGCGTATGGAAGAGGTAAGAAGTACATTGTCAGATGCTTATCTTGCTTGGTGACTTGTAAATGCTTGGAAATCAAGTGATATATGAGGGCCCGTACACCCGTGATTAGGAACTTACATTTATACTTGATCGACTGATGATTACGGGGCTTTGATCGGAAAGGTAGCCTTACAATTAGCATTTTCTATAACAATTTCGTATAAATATTACATGCGCAGCTCACTGATCCCAAATACTAGAAAATTATCGTACAGAAACTACCATCCACGGCTGTCTTTGTCACCATGAAGAACCCACCCCCCTCCACCATTCAGTGTGTTTATCATTGCCCATATTTCTCTCATGTTTCCCTACAATCTCTTCTACCCCTTTCTCTGCACCCCTCGCCGTCTTTGCATTTTCTTTACCCAGTCTGGGGGACCTGTATCATCACTTCTCAATACCAGCTGCCGCTACGACCACGTTATTATTCACCTTTTAACTACTGCTGAACCTCGGTCGGGTCTCGGTCCTCGCTGCTTATCTGGCACTCTGGCATCTCCAAAGTGACTACCAAACGAGCTTTGGTACTTCCAAGCCGGACATTGGAGCCTAGCCAATCTCTCCGACCAGTTCGACTAGCGTTTTTTACCTTACTCTTAGGAACCTTTCCGGGCCTAACTACAGTCACACTACGATGGAAGAGAGTCTGTACCGAGAGGCCTATGAGGAGATCACCTGGTTCCTGCATAGTTCACCGAAAGTAGAGACTGTTGGAATCGATCGATACGGTGACCTGCATAGTTTTTATCAAAGTAAGAGATAGGACATATACCTGTGTGCGACAGGTGACGACCTAGTACTAACGTCACATCAGAACAGCCCGGCAAACACTAGGAAGCAGCTAACTATGCTCTGATCGTCTATCGGCTGAGCGAACTCTCTGATGACATCAAGTGGAAGATCAGTTCTAGCACCATCGAAGAGCAGCATGTATTCTTCCGGCTTTTGCACCTTGATGATACAAAAGAAGAGGTCAGGAGAGGACCCGTGCAAATTACTACTGTCGTCTGAGTGACATCGCCACGCTCAAAAATACACAGAAGTAGCTAAATTTTGTCTACAAACGGCTTGCGTCGAAGAAAGAAAAGGCCAAGATTGAGGGACCCTCGATGCAATCAGGAACGACTACTTCGGCTTGTAAGAACGGAGAGAAATTTAGGCTGGTAGTGCAGAACTGAATACAAAGGCTCAGCAGTTCAAGGATCCCCGTCAAAAATCACCCATCACCCGACACCAAAATCAGTAAGAAGGATCCCGGTGCTTGAACAAGGGTGTGCTGCCGTGACAAGATGTCGAGATAGCTTCAATATCTTGGCTTCTTGTTGCAGCGGAATGGCAGTGAGAACGATGAGATAGCATAGTGACAAAATGTGATTAATTTAATATCAAATTTGCAATTATTTGTCCAAACTTGTGCCGCGCAACTACACCAGAGAGGGTTGGGTTGGAGAAAAAAAAAAAAAAAAGAAAAAGAAAGGTACCACTGAAAAAGTTTGGGGAAACAGAAAGGGAGACTTGAATAGGTCAGCAATTTGAAAGTAAAGCCTGCTTGGAGGACACCGTAATGTCTAAATCGCTGGAAATCTAAGCTAGAGTACCACTCATGGACTAAAATAACTCTTCCAGAGTCAACATATACGAAGGATGCACACGATGCATGACAGCACCTAAGCATGGCTCGCCACCGAGCTCTCTACCCTGATCATTAATGTGTGTCTTGCGACTATGATTTCTTATGATAATTTCAATACTCTCACTTCCCAGAATCATGTAATTGCAGCTTCTCAAGACAACCTGATGCCCTTCCTTCCATTGTGTACGCTGCAATCATCGACCTTCACGCCGTTCCCTCCCAGACATTTCGCTACAATTTAACCCCTCCAAGCCTGTCTAAGATAACTTCAAAGCTTCGTTTCTATACCTGGGGCACATATACTCTACCAAAGCTTCTATAGGTAAGGGGAGAAGGGAGAAAAGGGTTGGTGGCGCGATTGTGGTACATCTTCCGAACCCTCAGGAATCAAAACCTCAAATCGACTCTGATCACGGATTTTCTAAACATCACTTAGCTTCTGATTAAAACCGAACTAAATAACGAAGCTATGTGAGAGCGATGTCCAGTGCTATCCATGAGAAATTGGCTCATGTTGTATGTCTGCTTCTAGTTGACACGATCCCCACTTTACCACTTCAGAATGAAGTCAATTGCCTTCATATAACGGTTACTCCTAACGCGTATTATCTGTTGAACTCCCAACTTAATTATAACACCTCGTATATAGAGATCATTCGGTTGTTATATAATTCATCCTTAAGTTTCCATCCTCGCTGGCAGCGCAGCCAGTCTCAAGGCTCAATTTCTGTACTCGTTCAGTCTGAATCTGCCAAGGGAAAAAATTGCTTAGAGTTAGAATAGATGCACAAGCATATTCTGAAAAGTGAAAACATACTTCTAATCGATACGAAATGATCGGTAATGGGGCTTTATGTTCCTCCAGGAGATCCATGTCAATAGCACTCTCTCTTCAAAAGCACTGGAAGCAGCTTTGGCTGGACCAAAAACCCCAATACTATGACCTTGTCCCTTCTGGTACAGTATACTGACGGCCGCGAGACGAGCCGCCCAATTCCCATGCGCGCGCACAGTTCCAGCCCCCTCTGGGGCGTCCAGCAGCGCATCCCAATTGTCTACCGAGGATAGTCATCATGGCCTGAGTCGTCAGAGGAAGGCTTATGTGGGACGATGCTTTCTTCTCTATATCCCGAGCAAGCAATTGTAATTCTAGACAGTTGTGTGAAGTCAATGCAACGACTATCCAGTTCGGCCACCCATTTGCCGCGGTCGAGAACAGGAATTACCGACTCCACCATCATCACATCCTGGTCGATGGTCCGTTCTTCTTTAACATAGAGCGGGAATTTCCATTCGAGGAGAAAAAGAGAGGCGAAGGGAGGTCGCCTCGAAATTTTCAACGCGGTGGAAGTCATAGGGAAAGTGGGAGATCGTATTGAAGGATTCCGTGGGCTTGCGGATGTTGGATCCTGGAGCACCACAAGAATGCTGAGCCCGAGGCGTCCACTTTTGCCGAAAATAGGTTAAATATCATAAGGGGCTGGGTAGTCAAAAGGATCAGATATAACGACCGCAGCCGCGAAAATCAAATCATTGGAGGCTAATGCAAAGGCCGATTCCAGATCAGCTGAATCGACATCACTGGTCCCGTTCTCGAAACGCGCGATACACGAGAATGCCTGGGCTGGATCCAGGGGCTGCGGTTGGGTAGAAATGAATGGAGCCTTTAGCAAACAAAGCACAACGATGGAAAGAACTCATGTGCTTTCCACTGAGATTTAATATGCGCCTGCAATCCCTTCATTATCGAGATTGTCCAGCCAACCGATATCAAAAAGATCGCGCAGAATGCCTAGCTCATCGATAAGGTAGTTTTGCCTATCTAGACAGAACCCGAAATTATTATCCTCCTGGGAGTAAAGTTCATTCACTTCCAGCCCCTCCGTCGCCAAGGAGTGTCTCAGAGGCCCTGTTCTATCTCTAGTGTCTCCAGCAGGTGGTCTGGGATCCCTTTCGGCTGCTCTCATTTTGTTCTGAGTCTCGTGTGTAATCTTGATCAAATGTGCTAGCTTCTGACACGCCTCATGCGCCATCGTCCATGTCTGCGCCAGAGACAGCAGAAGTTGATGCCCATACTCAACGAAGTCGAGCCCGGCGGCCATGGTAGCTGCTGGCCCGCTCTTGCCGCTCAGCTGCACCACGCCCGGATGGGTCCACAGGCAATAGATGATGGTGATCGAGGCGACAAAAATCGCATGAGCGGTGAGCCAGGAGCACTCCATGTCTCCAAAGCGGTGCTGATTGCTGTACAACTCAACCGTAGAAATCGCGCTGGCAAAACAAGTCTGAATCCCATGAGGCGTGGGTTGACGGATCTGGGGACTCGGTCGATAGAGTAGCATCAAACAATGGTGGTATTTGAGCTCCAAGCGTTGCAAGTCTAGGGTAGAGATGGGCCCAAAATCCCTAGATGCCGGAAACGTATGATCCGACATACTATGCTTGCTGAGATATGTATGTGCCTGTTGATGATGTGTTCGAGCTTGGACCTCGTGCCGGAGCGCAGTGCAAGCAAAATGGGCTCTCTGTTGCCAATCGACGAGGTTAGTGGGCCAGGGGAAACGAGTCGGCGACCGTGAGACGCGATACAGCATGAGCTTGATCTCGGCCACAAGTCGGTCGAAGCGAAGTGAGAAGACACATGCAATATATGGGGATGGTGCCAACAATGGCGCTGGTGGTGGCGGGTCGTGCGCTGAAGACTCCTCTTCCGCCGGCCTCGCATATGAGGAATTCCATTCAGTGGCTCCTTCCTCCACTTCACTGCAAAAGTCGAGACCCGGAAAATCGCAATCAATAGCTTCATCGCGCAAGGTGAGAGGGCGGCCAAGAATAGTAGCCATCATCCGGTCCATAGAATACGCTGACCAAAAGATTGCGCTTCGATTATAACGAGCATTGCGTTGAATTGGAGTCTCAGTACCGCGGGAACCTATCAAAATGACCACGATTAGTCCCTCTAGATATCTTCTGAAATTGTAAGAAGGAAAAAGCAAGGGGCGAGATTACGGTTATCACGCCGGTGGAGGCCAAGATCGATGCAGCTTGCAATGATCGTATGCACCAAGTGCCAGGCATTCAGACCCTCAGGATTGTAAAAGCTATGCTGGGCTAAAAGCAAGAGGACCTGCAAGCCTTCGACGCTGCCGTGCAAATTTGCTTCTGCAATGGAGGACATAGCTTGAGCGAACAGCTCCCGTGAGCCAAAGCTACCGTTTAGTTTGATTTCCAGATTACGTGCGCCGATTGAGAGAACCAGAAAAACCTGACCCAATGCTATTCTTAAATCCATCTCTCCAGTCCAGACCGCAGTGTTAACGACACGCTCCAGTTGGGTGTACAGCACGTAAAACCTCTCCGGCGCGAGGAACGGATAAAGGCTTGAAATGGAGAAATAGCACTCTGCGAATTTCTGGCATTCCAGCATCGGTGGCAGGTCGAATGAAAAGTTCTGCGTGCTTGGATGAGAAGTTGTGGAAGCCGGCGGCGGTTGTGAGGCACCAGCAGTGTGCGGTAAAGCAGCCACATCATCGCGAGCATGGGGAAGAGCGCCGTCTTGTGAGGGCGGAGCACTCTGATATATCGAACGCGCGAACGTCACCCCAGAGGATGGGCCAAGGTATTTCGGATCTCCAGCATTGGCTAGAGATAGCAGACCTACCTCGTGTGCGAGAGGTTGCCCCCGTGTGATGTTGCAAGGTAGAGATGCGACAAGTCCGATGGAGTGACCGCTGTTCTTGTCTCCATCATCCGGATATGAGCGCTTTTCAGACGGGGGATGCACCGCTACGTCTGCAGCAGGCTGGTTTAACTCTTGCGAGATATATGAAGGAGCGGCCTCCGTTGGTCCCTCATTTGCGGATCCTTGTTCTCCATGTGATGTCGAGGGCAATGGGGAGGGTAAGGACTGTAGTTGGAGAAGACCACCCGTGCCCGGACCCCGGGACGGAAGCTCAGCTGTTGGCTCATGAGAATGCACCGGTGGGAAGGCAAACGATCGATTCTGGGAGCTTGGTGATCGTACAAGTGCCTCACTCTCCAACTCCCGTACGCGACTTTCCAGATACCTTAAACGACTATGGAGAGAAATAGCGGGCTTGAGTCAAATTGAGACACTTGGGCAAGAAAATGCGCAGAGGGTTCCAGTAATTCCGGTGATCATACCTTTTAGAAACAGCTGAGCCCGCGACACCTTCAAAGCATTCTATTCTAGCTCTCGCACAGTTGGAGCACGCAGGAGATGCGCCATCGCATCGGACCTTGCGACGACGGCAGCGCAGGCAGGCTATGGGTCGGCGACGGGTGGACTGTAACGAAGACATTTCCGAGAGAGAAGACGAAACTGAAGCCATCGGGAGTAAAGCTTGAATTGATTTGAACTCTGGGGGTCACTTGGGATGGAGCCGATGTGTCAAAGTCGGTTGGTAACGTGAAAGCACTCAACCCGGAATACCTACGAATCATGATGAATGAATGGCGGGGAAGAAGTTCGGGGATTCCCCGACGCACACTATTACTAACTAGTAACCTTTCCCCGCCATTTGTTCAGTGGAGCGGATTAGGTCCATTCCAATCACGTGATACATCATACCAGATTAGTCCTAATGCTTGCGCGCTTTGCACTTCCTCCATCAATAAGCCTGGTTTCTTTGTCAAAATTACATAGCCAGCAGAGAAAGCTATACATCCAATTGGCTAGGGCTATGAACTTAGGTGTATTTGCTTGCAGGGCTTCACAGTCGGCCGATGAGTTAAATCCACCTCCAGCTTCACGACAACTGATTCAAGAAACCATATTTGTCATAGCGCAAAGGCTCATGCAATGAACCTAAAGTCGTCCCTGCGGACAATTTCCTCATTCTCAGCCACCTCGGGGTCCCTGGCTTGACTCTCGCCCTTCATTTCTTGTGCCACCGTCGTCTGACCCGCGTCTAGTCTTCGGTTGGCTCTTAGGAGGATCACTCGCATCAGGAGACATAGAACAATCGCCACTACACAGAATGCAGTGTTCACACTCATAGCAAGAACATATCGAGGCGCACCATCATCCGGGTAAAGATAAGATGAGAATATCTGAAGTCGGGGTGATGAATGATCAGCGGGCTGGCTAAGACAGACCAAAACGATGGTGAGAGACTGGAGAAAAACTCACCTGGGAGAGATTTCCAATCGCATTGACAAACGCAACTGACGCGGCGCGCTTGACGCGAGGTCGTAGCATAGTCTTTTGTGTCCATGCCAGAAGCACAGCGTTGGCCCCATGGCCGCCAGCGACCATGAGTATCATGGCGAAGTAGCGAGCTCCCAGGTTAGTGGAGGCAGCACCAATGACAAATCCACAGATAGCAACAACAAGGGGCCAGCAGACATGAAAGGATGAGTTTCTCAGCTGATCAGCCGACCTATTGTTGAGAATAGACATGACCAGAGCAACCATGTATGGAGGCACAGTTAACAGGAGAGTATCCACCCGGTTAAATCCGAGTGTCTCGACAACTGACGGGAAGAAATTTGACGTCGCACTGGCCACTTGAATACATAGGAAAATCAAGGCGAAAATATACAGGCGCCAATCCGTCAGAGCTCTTTTGAAACCATATTTCCAGCCGGCATTATCTTCATCGATCTGCCCGGAATCAGAGACGAGACGCCACTCTGCAACAGCTCTTTCAACGGGGCTCAGCCAACGCGTGTTGCTAGGATAGTCAGGCAGAATAAAGAAAGCACACAGAGCAATGAATACAGTAATCGAACCCTCAATAAGGAAGATCCATCGCCACGATTCGAGACCTCGAGCACCATTCAAACCATCTTGAATTCCGGCGGCGATGAGTCCAGAGAATGCACTGCCGAGCTGCGACCCGGAAAATAGAAACGCGCTGCGCACGCCCATCTCTTCGCGTTTATACCATGAAGAGATCAAGAATAAGGCACCGGCTGTGATTGTAAGCGATCGAACAGAAACGCACTCTTTAGAAGAAAAGAGCTACGTACGATAAAAGGCCGCTTCGACAAAACCCAGTAAGAAACGCAGAGCGTAGAGTCCTGAGTAATTATGAACAGCCCCAACCAGGGCAGACAGCATACCCCATACTGCCATCACAACGGGTAAATAGATGGATGGTCGCAAATGGGCCAGGAAGATATTGGATGGCAGTTGCATTAAGACATAACCAGCGAACAATATAGCCACCGCTGTTGCGTATTGGGTACTTGACATGTGTAGAGACTGAGAAATCCCGGCGACTTTGGCAGCTGAAATATTGTTCTAACAAAGGACAGTCAATAGACAAGGAAAGATGCAATTTCTCAGAGTCTTTGAGTCACGGGACGCGTTGTCAAGAACAAGGGCTGAGGTACCACTTACTCTGTCCAAATAATTCATCACGAATATAAGCCACACGCACATCAAGAGACGGAGGTCTAGTTTCCTCTTCAGTGATTTTTCCACTCGCAGGAATTCATCTTCTGTGAGTTGCCGTGCTGCTGCCAATCGATCCACATCTTGGAAATCGATGTGCTCAGTCGGGGCTTTGGGATCATCTGCCATTTCCAAGAATAGGAAGCAAATTCAAAGCTATGCAAGTTGAGGTAGGGGAAAGAAAACGGTGCGAATGGGTCTGATGAGGCAGAATCTGAGGTGCTTATGGACCTTTTTATGCTTTGGTGGACACCCCTCCTCCATTGCTCCCCGCTCATTTGGGGGTTAGTTCAGATATCTGGGGGGTCCAGGATCGAGTATTCCCCGTGGGGAGCGGAGATCCCACCCAGTGTTTCCCCAGTAATTGATTGTAGCGATATGATCCAAAGTCTCAAGCTTATTGGTCGGTATAACCTATCCATGTCACCCTTAAGGTTTCGGTCTCGGGCCGACTGGAAGGAATGATACATCATGTGGTTGACCTGATGCTCTGTACATGGTTTTCGTAGGTCATGTTAAGCCTACGTGGCTTGGGTGGTTGGTTTCGCCGATGATGCTCCTGCTTAGTTGATTTAACAAAGGCAAGCTCAAGTCCAAGGCTGCCGATGTGCAAGCGTACACTATTGCGATTTATTGGGTCTCAGTCCTCATGAAGTAGATTTCATTCGAACCGAGCAACCCTAAAAGATCGATCACAGTGAGTGAACAGCGGGAAAATCAATGGCAATAACTGTTCAAGCCGATAGAGGAGAATATGTGTGGTCAAAGATCGAATTGGTGTCGGATAAGTGGTATTCCAGTTTGGAACTGGCAGCGTAGTCGTGTGGACTGATGTGTATCGTATTCATTAAATTTCTAATCGCGCAAATCAGAAGTTCGCTCCTCGCTCAGTCAGGTTGTCCTCAAAATGTTAGATGATGGGTGGTCCTGTGAGCATTTCGGTATGAGAGTTAATGGCAAAGGCAAAGGCTTTAGCCGCCCCGTCTGCTTTAATCATTTATGAATCTATTAAACCTTTCTTATGTTGGCGTTTTGTCATTATTCCACCTCACCGAAAGTACAAAAGCCGTCTGCAAGTTTTCGTCGGTCTCGAATTTACCAGCGTAAGTAATTTTTTTTTATTTTTATTTTTATTTTTATTTTTATTTTTTATTATTATTATTATCATCATTATTTTTACGTATCATTCTTGTAGGAACCCTTTCTTATCAAGAGATATGATACAACTTTACAAGGGGAAACCGTCCACGCGTGAACAGGCTGCCATGGAGACTCAACTGTGTCTTGCTCCACACACACACACACACACACACACACACACTCATTCACGCCCGACGGCTAGGCCTAAAGGATAACTATCACTGATCTATATATACAGATTATAATATACATATACTGTATCTCTTCGAGCACATTTATGATCATTTTCGGTATATGTCATCTTAACTGTCAATATAATAATTATACATATATTAGTAAGTTTATGATCAAACTGATCGTGACGAGAACATTTAGCGCATGATAATATGATGTTGAGCTTGCCAGTAAGATGTTACAGGCTGATAGAAACAAGAAGAATGCCAATAAAGGAGCAGAAGTAAGTGCGATGGACCAGTCTGAGAAGTCAGTGCCGCACTGCCGCTTATACTCATAAGAGAGATGTCGCGTCTTGCTCCATTCTTGCATGAGAGTACATTATTCTATGACGCTCAAATAATATTTCCTTCGCAGCTTATAACTGAACAAATAAAAAGACGTCGCTGGCAACAGGAGCAGGTAACTTGCCGAAGGAAACCACGGAAGCCTTGACATGCACCGCTTGTTGTGGGGGGCTCGTTGACCGTAAATACAGCTAAAACCTTGTGTCTGAGTATCGTACAACGCAAATACATGTCTTTCCAATTACACATGCTCACAATGCTGCGAGGATACACCCGTAGATGCAATTTTGTGACTGTGTGCGGCAGAACCATCTTGAGCATGTCCTGTCTCGCTTTTCTTCATTTCAAGACTATGCTTGCCGACTTTATACCAAGGCACTTCAAACAAGCGATCGATGTCCGTCATGTTCATGCCCTTGGTTTCGGGAAACGCAAAAAAGGAGTATATAGCTCCCACGGTGGTCGCTGATGCGAATAGTGCGAACGGCCCATAGGTATGCATTGCCGTGAGCATATTGGGCATTGCCCTCGTCAAAGCAAAATTGACCAAGTACTGCCAAGTGATCGTCAACGCCATACAAGGCGCTCTGACAGACATGGGAAATACTTCCGCGTTGATAATCCACGGTACTGTCGCCCACGAGATAGCATATCCGATGGCGTACAGGTATATAGCAACAATAGCTGCCCATCCTGCTGACTTGCTAGCGGAACTGTTCAATTCTGCTAGCGCACCCAGGTAGATAGTCATATAGGTCAAAGTCACCACAATGATGGATGATCCGGCCCAAAGTAAAGGTCGACGACCATAATTGTCAACGAAATAGAGACAATAGCACAGAACAGAGATCACCTTCACCAAGCCGTAAATCCCGGAAAAGAGGTAGTTGATTTTCGGGTCGGTGAATCCGATGGAGTTGAGGATAGTGGTATTGTAATAGGTGATGATGTTGCCTCCCGAAAATTGAAAGAATGTTTGGATGAGACAAACTAGAACCATGCGCTTCATGAGGTTGGGGACCTGTGAGAATCGACTCAAGTCCAGGCCTTTGGGCTGCTCCAAGTTGACGAGCCGAGCTTCAGCAATCTCAGATAATTCTTCTTGGAGGAAAGGATGGTCAAGGCTAAGCTTCCGAAGCTTGTGAAGAGATTGGCGTGCCTCATCAACTCTGTCTTTGCTTGCAAGCCATCTGGGAGATTCTGGGAGGGCAAATAGTCCGCCAAACAGTATTATTCCTGGGAGGGCCTGCATCGCCATAGGCACTTGCCACTGTGCATTCGATTTGGAGGAGATGTTGAGTAGCGCGCCATAGTTGATCCAATATGCCAGAGACACTCCAAACATAGTATTGGCATTATACAAGGCAGACAGTCCACCTCGAATGGCTTTGGGTGCTATTTCGGCGATGAAGGCGGTGCCTGCCACACTGGCGGCACCCGAACTAGCACCTGAGATGACTCTGCCAACAATGAGCATAGCGATCCCCCCTGATCCGTGAGGCTCTACGGTCATCAGAATGGCTGCGATAATGTAACAAACACTGATGATCTGTAGGCTGGTCTTTCGGCCTAATCTCTCTGACATGGGGCTGGCTATGAGAGCGCCGGCACAGGAGCCCAGTAGAAGACAAGCTGTAATCCAGCCCTCTAAATTCGAAACCTCCAGTTTTCCCATACTGTTCAGCCCAAAATACTTTTGGAAAGATTTCATGCTCATCACTCCAGAGATATTCGCTGTGTTTAAGCCTGTGGCGAAACTATACAGTTAGTGCTAAGCCCAGGTTACAACGGAAACAGGGCTTCATCCACTGCTGAGTAGGAGAAGAGACATGATAGAATAAAGACGAAGTAGCAGGACTGACTGACCATGTAAAAATCCGGAGAAAGAAAGAATAAGGCCATAGCAAAGGATTCGAAGGCTGATGACTTCACGCGGGACATTCTCTAGAAGCTTTTTGTCGACAAGGACCATTTTGCAGGCAGTAATAGGAGAGCTACTGAGAAACGAACACAATGTAGTAAGAAATCAGATACAATTCATGGATGCTTATCAGACAAGAAGGCTTAGCAAAGTGAATTAGAATGCGGGAGCTTCGCTTCCCCGGAAGTTGTAGGGACAAAACTCAGCCGTTCACCCCCATTTCGTTGTTACCCTTGCCAAAGGAGAATAGGAGAGACCGAGCCGGGTTAGACGGCAACCCATCGGCAATAGCCCGGCATTAGAGACAAGAGGATATGCTGTCATTCTACAATTTATTTTTCTTCTCCACTCGTGGTGTCTGTAAAACTACATTTCGATGACGTTCGATGCTTTTGAAATATTGACTACATCAATTCGTAAAAGCTGAAAAGGAAAGTTACTAGTACCTCCCCGACGACCCAAGTACATCCATCATGCGCTCCACCGACTGCGCATACACCTCCACGCCCTGCATGGAAAGAACGGTTAATTCCATAGACCCGGCATTCTCGGCAATGAACCGAGTGTAGTCATCCCTGACAGTACGGTTGAGATTGATCTTCCGAACTCCATATGGGATGGTACGTTGAAAAAGTTCGTCTGAGACGGGGTGCGTTCCGTGAAGGGCGATGGGGGTTTGGCTAGCAATTAATTTCCCAATGGATGCAAGTCTGAAATGCCGCAAATAGTAGCCCCAGACGAGTTAGTCACTAACCAGGACAGAGGCAGCAAGGCGCTGAGTAGTAGAAAAGAAGCTCATACCGAGGAAGGTCCCATGATTTCTCTGCCCCGCCTTCGGGGTAACCCCCGTGTATATTTCCAAATGATGGAGCAAGGTAGTGGACTCCGGTTCTTCGTACGAAATCTTCAGCTTCTTCGGGCCGCGTCAGAACAGCATCCATGTCCACCGTGGGCAAGCCGTCCTCGCCACCCTCGATACGGCCCATCTCCGCCTCAATAGTGATATTGACCGCACGCGCCTTGGCCACAATTTCTTTACAGTACTCGATATTCGCCTCCTCGTCAAGAGTCGACGCATCCACCATGATGGAGTCAAATGGAAGGGTTAGGGCCAATTCAACATCATCAGGCTTGATACAGTGATCCAGATGCACCGCTATCGGCACAGTAGCGCCATGAGCGGCGTGAACCACATAGCGGATAAAATCTAGCCCCTGAAAATGCATTGTCCAAGGGAAAAGTTGGATGATGGCGGCAGAGCGCTTGCGCTCGGCCGCGCGAATTACAGCCATGACGCCATCTGTGTTGTAGCTGTGAGCAGGGTAAGGGGTCGTCAGCTGAGGAAGTGACGATGGCCCAACGTACTAGTGGTTATTAAGATTAAGTAACAAGCAGAACATACCAATTGTAGGCTCCTACAGCGTAGTTATGTTGCTGTGCATGCCTGAGAATCCGCCAGGTGAGGTTGCTAGCTGGGAATTCCTGATTGTCCGCCATGGTGAAAGGATGGTTGTGGATAGCTGCTAATGGGTAGCTGTGAGTAGACTTGTAAGTTTTACAGCCCATTAAATAGGATATTAGGCCCCATTCTGGGGATCCTCCCCCGAGAGTCACCAAAGGTACAATTGCAATGGAAAAATTGTCGTCCGCTCTTGACCCAATTTTTTTCATTTGGTCGGGCTTTCGCCGCCATTTCTCCGCATCTCGGGCCGAGTCCGTACCCCACACATCTCGGAGTACGAACGGACGGTCTAGAGCATCTTTAGGTCAGGTAAATCGGCTCGATTCCTGCAGGGGCATAAAGATATCGCTCATTGGTTATGACATGCGGGGACTTTGTGTCAGCTGATTACCGGCAATTACCCTATCAGGAAAATATCGGTAAGGCTGGGACTACATATTTGTACTAACAGGAAAACATTGATAAAAGTGAACATACGCTGGTGAAAGAGTGCCAAAATGCATGGGAAAGCAAAGGATTTATTCCACCAGATTCTGAGCACAATCAACCACAAATCAGCATGGCTCCAGGTCAGTAACTCCTTCTTCTTCTATACAGTATTACTTTGCACTTCCTAATCGATACATACAGTGCGGCGGTTCTTGAACGAGCCTTCCGAGCTCGTTCGTGAGTGGACTCGAAGTCAAATACACTTGCAACCTGGCCTCAATATTGATGAAAAGTTTTTGGTGCTGTATAGAGATAATGCAGCTCACAGTGGTAGAGTCACTGTGGTTAGTGGAGGTATGCTTGGGGTTTTGTTGGTCTTTTTATTTTTATTTTTATTTTTTTTTTTGAAAGGTTATTGGACTGGCTACGGAACTAATTATGCTTTGACAGGGGGCAGTGGACACGAGCCTGCCCATGCAGGGTATCTTGGCGAAGGCATGCTGGATGCAGCAGTGATCGGAGCCCTATTTGCTTCGCCCAATGTTCGTCAGATCCAGCGTGCGCTGGAATTGGTCTCGTCGCCACAAGGCACCGTTGTGGTGGTTAAGAACTACACCGGCGATAAATTGAATTTCGCATTGGCCACCGAGCGTTTCAAGGCAACTACCGGCAAGGATGTCCGAATGGTTCTTGTCAACGACGATGTGGCAGTTGGACGGTCTCGTGGGAAATTCGTCGGTCGCCGTGGGCTAGCAGGAACCGTGCTTGTTCAGAAAGTCGTGGGGGCTGCCGCCCATCATGGCTTAGACATAGACAACATAGTCAGCTTGTGTAACGTGGTTTCACAGGGCCTAGGGACTATCGGGGCGTCCCTGGAGCCCTGTCATGTACCTGGGCAAATGGTTGTCGATGGAGCCAAGTTCAGTGGCATAGCCCTTGGTATGGGCATCCACAACGAGCCTGCCGTCAAGAATCTGGTTGCAACAACTACGACGCAGGACCTAATTGCAGAGATGCTGGACCTCCTGTTGGATCCAGCAAAGCCTGAGCATGCGTTCTTGTCCCCCGAGGTAGGTAAGAGGGATGGCCGTTTAATTCTAATGTTAAACAATTTGGGCGGGCTCTCGACTATTGAACTCGGCGCCCTTACCTCCATTGTTCTTTCTCAATTGGAGGAGAAGTACAATATTGCGCCATGTCGAGTGTACGCGGGCACCTTCTTGTCCGCCTTGGACGGTCGAGGCTTCAGCATCACGGTGCTCAGTCTTGATCACTCAGAGACTGCGTCGACGATTCTCGATCTTCTCGACAAACCAACCACTGCCAATGGTTGGGCCTCTTCAATACCGTCATCCCAATGGAAAGCGCTCTCGAGCGCCGGCCCTTCACAAAATTTCCTTGCCAGCCAAACATTAACTTCCTCAGTGCAAGCCATTCCTTGTGAGCTAACCCTGAAAATGTAATGATATTGTGAGATCAGTGCTGACTGAATGCGACTCCAGGCAATGATCGTCTCTTCGCTCAAATTATACAGTCTATCTTTAAAGAAGTAACCGCCAGAGAGCCCATGATCACACGTTACGACACTGTTTTGGGCGACGGGGATTGTGGTACCACTCTACTCGCCGGTGCAAAGGCACTTGCCGATGCTCTTCGAACCGGGAAGTTGTCGCTGTCTAGCCTGTCGCAAGGGATGGCTACTGTGGCAGAGATCGTTACCGACGCAATGGGCGGCACTTCAGGGGCTATCTATGGAATTTTTCTCTCCGCACTGGCCGCCGCATTGGCTCAAGCTTACGACCAAGACGTCGGAATGAATGGTCGATACTTTGCCCTAGCGCTCAATCAGGCCCTCGATGTCTTGGGAAAGTTCACCGGCGCTCGAGTTGGTGACCGAACACTGATGGATGCTTTGATCCCTTTCATTACGGTTTTCGATAAGGCATCACAAGAGGAGAATTTGATCAAGTCGCTTGAGCTGGCTGTCCATCAATCTGCTATCGGCTGTGAAAACACCCGATATCTCGATTCGAAATATGGTCGATCGACTTATGTCGGCAATCAGTCGGCAGGCGAGACGAACGAGAGTGACCCGATCCAAATACCAGACCCTGGTGCTTGCGGTATAGTCGCTGTTCTGACCGGTTTACTTAGAGCCGTGCAGTATTCTTGAGATAATGAACGAAGCCCACATTCGGCACCTCTTCTATCACCTGTTAATTAAATATGATTCTAATCTAACATAAGATCTTGGTTTATGTTTCTGACATAGTTACGGACACGAGCTTACATACATGGATATATCTTCGGGAAGCTTGGAAAAAACGTTAGACATTTGAGTGAATTCTATAGAGATGACATGAAAGCTGTTATTAATTACCTTCAGACCTGTAAGGCGTACAATAGATTTGTTCTAAGAGATTCATCCTATCAATAACGCTGAAACTACGTCATACCGATATCTGCTTTGTCACGAGCGCTGCATTCGTGTGATATGAGACATTATTTGTCTAGCCTTGGGTAAACGGAATTGTGCTTCCTACTTAAGCTGAACATCGGTGAGTGAAATTCCCTTCGCATGTTGTACATATAAATCTTTTCTCTGGTATAATGCTGTAATGATCTGGTAGAAAGGAAAGAAAGAAGAGACACTATGCAAGGGAGAGGGGTTTGTCCGACAATGGGATATCAGAAACACCATACTGCTTGGCCGCTTCGATGAACATCTGCTTCTCGGCATCAGCGTAGGGGATACCTTCCCTGCGGCGCTGGACACCGAGGCGATGTTCCGGCTCACCAGGGAAAAGAACCTCATTGAAGCCAGGGGCAGGAGTCACATTATGTACCCGCTGCACCAACGTGTCCATACGAGCCTTAAACTCGTCGGCTGTAAGGAAGATATCTTGCTTCAAAGCGATAAAGCAGTGCCCGACATTTTGGGGCTTCACGTCCTTGTACTGATCACCAACCTCACCACCAAAGGCAGCGCCAGAAAGTACACCAGACATGATATCCATCAGAATAGCAATACCAGAGCCTTTCGGTCCACCAATCGGCGCCATACTGCCATTGAGAGCCACATTAGGATCAGTTGTAGGGTTACCTTCCGCATCCAATGCCCAACCCAGAGGAATTGACTCCCCGCGGCGAGCAGCGCGGCGGATCTTACCCTTGGCAACAACAGAAGGGGCCATATCAAGAATATAAGGAACCTCCTTACCAGAAGGAGCTCCAGCAGCAAAAGGTGAGATACCTAGTAAAGTCTCTTTTCCACCAAACGGGGGCATCTGCTTAGCCGAGTTGGTGAATACCAACGAGATCATGTCTTTTTCCAAGGCCTGCAGCACATAGGTAGCTCCCATACCAAAGTGATTGGAGTGGTTCACAGTAACTAGACCAATTCCATAGATCTCAGCCCGCTTGATAGCTTCCTCCATAGCGCGGGTAGCAACAACAAAGCCGAATCCATTGTCTCCGTCCATATGCGCGACGACAGGAGTCTTTTCGGTAATCTTGAATTGTGGCTTCGCATTCACGCGACCGGTGCTGACACGCTCAAGGTATTGAGGCAGACGGGCAAGGCCATGCGTGTCCTGTAAGAGTAGGTCAGCGGAACTCTTGTCATTTCAAGATGTTCCGCAGATGCCAGGGTCAACTTACTACGCCACGAACATCGGCCAGCACGAGGCAATCGGCCATAGACTTAGCATCTTCATGGCTCAGACCGGCCTTGACGAGAAGATCAGTGGCAAAAGTAGCCGCAGCAGCGGGGTCGGCGTAATAACGAGCCTAGACAAGTAGTTGAGCATGCATTAGTAGACTTTCTTGCAACGAGTCAAAGTAGATATGCATACAGAAGAAGCCATTTTAATCGGTATTGATCGATTACTATAACAGTTGCTTTGTTTTCAGTGTATGAACACGTTCAAGTAATCGTGGCGTCCAGTACGGAGATGATGTCGGTCTATTATATTAAGAGATCCCGCTGAGGAATGAGGGTCAGTTGACGATTATACCCATTCGGCCCGCTGCCGAGTTCCCCACCAGCGCCCTCCGCCAGCATTTTATCCGAGGCAAGGCGGCATTTCCCCGATAAAACTTTACACCGGTCTTGACATCAACGGCCCAGTTTCTTAAGTACCGTGATTGACTGGGAGACTTGGTCGCCCGCCATCTCCTTGCTACGACCAAAACATGTTTTTTTCGACGGCTTCTGTTCCGCGAGTGGCATCGCGACTGTCACGTCCAATTGGCTTTGGTGAGTCGCTGCGACGAGCCAACCATACTCAATCCCCGCGGGTGGCTGTTTTGTTCCAAGCTATTGACCCCCCGATTATTGGCGGTGTTCGCAAGCCTCGTAAACCTGGTGGTAAGTAAGGTCCCAGTGCACAGGTGAGCAACTGTGCAAGTCTCTTCTGCTCGCTTGAACCTGCCATGATCCTTACGCTAGCTACACCCAGGCTATCAGGATTCCGGTGCAGACATTGCATATACTCTACAATCCAAAGGAATCCGGAGCATCACGCCCGAGCCTTCCCCTCAACTAGAGGTTGATCAAGGCTGGTGTTTCGCGGACACTGAAGAGGGTATTGAATCCGCCTTGAGCAAGGGAGCTACTCATCTGTGGGCCAACACCATTCTCTTCAACGCTCACCCCCTCCAGAGCTCTCAGAAACTGTCTCGTCATGCTTCTGAAGTCTATGTCGTGGGGCAACCACCAGCTCTCGTCGAGAACTTTGATGATAAGGCCTACTTGAATGGCAAGCTTGGCCAGCTCGGTGGTTTCACGCTCCCAAAGTCATGGCTTGCGTCAGATACTGCTACACTAGAGAATTGCCTTTCATCTATCAGCAGGTACCCGGTGGTGGGGAAGCCAGTCCGTGGAAGAGGTAGTCATGGCGTGAAAGTTTGCCATGACCCGGTGGGACTGAAAGATCATGTGCAGAAGTTGCTGCAGGAATCACCGCTGGTAATGATTGAAGAGTATTTACCTGGGGAAGAGGCCACCATTACTGTTATGCCTCCGTCTCCCGAAGTGTCAGAATATTGGAGTATGCCTCCGGTCACAAGATTCAACCATGCTGATGGCATTGCTCCCTACAATGGCGTGGTGGCCGTTTCCTCCAATTCCCGAGTGGTGACAGAAAGTGAAATGAAGGACCCAGCATATCACAAGATAATGAACGAATGCGTTCGCGTAGCAAAGCTTATAAAAGCGACGGCACCAATCCGGGTGGATGTTCGGCGATTTTGCGAGGGCTCTGAGTTTGCTCTTTTCGATATTAATATGAAACCGGTGAGTCCTGCCCTTGGAGTCCGTTCTCCTAGACGATGCGCGCATGGCCTGGCTCTGATACTATGTGCTGCAGAACATGACTGGGCCTGGTAGACCCGGTCGCGAAAGTCAAGCCAGTCTAACGGCGATTGCGGCTGCAGCCCTCGGATGGGATTACGGGACCCTTTTGAAGCAAATACTGGCTACGGCTCAACCTCTCGCTTCGTTCCGTTCGTACCGTAGTCCATTTTAGCCTTTTATCAAAGACCTAGTCGTCTTGATCCATAAATATTTGTTATGTCTAATAGTCTGCTAGCCTTATCTCGCTTAGGAAGATTTATACGGCGCATTGAATTCTTCACACGAAATTTCCATGCTAGTTGAGAATTTGTGAGTTTGTTGAATCTGGTTCTAGGCATGTTTCAAAAGTAGTTACAAAGTACATAGTGGAAATGGGTAATAGATATGACCTCCTCAGGTTCATTATATTTATGTAAATACTAGTGGGGAATATTTGGTGATTATCAATAAATTATAACAAACTGTTAATAACCTCATTAACCACCGACAACAATCGACAATCATTGGCAACTGCAACAAGGTTGGTTGCTGATACTAATTATAACGGTTATTAAGATCTATATAATTAGATCTGTATTATAAAACCTAGTTATAGATAATTATATGAAATTACAGATGTAGTTCAAACTTTTCTAATGGTTATGGGTAATAAACCAAGGTTACTCTTAGTCATTTGAATTTGATCCGCCCCGGGGATATTAGTATTTAGCCAGGCAGGAAGTAGGGCAGTTTTGAGATATTGCCAGTGTGTGGAGGAAGATGTCCATTCATGTGACCACAAAGAGAAGAGGTGTTTTAAAAAGCGTGATTGCATGAATCAAACAATCATATTTCATTGTAGCTAAAAACTGTTCGGTCGGTATCAAAGTTCTTGGTTGCCAGACTGCTGGCCGTTCACACCCGGAATCGGCAAGAAATTCCACATATATTCATCCTCAGGAGAAACTTCGAAGTCAAAGCGAATCAAATCCTCCTTGAATGGAAACATGTATGTGCTCGTGACCCTAGATGCAAATTTTTATCTTTTAGAAATATGTCCTAAACCACCCTTCTTGATGCTCACGTACCAGTGATGTTCCTTGCTGGCCTGATACTTTTCCAATTCAGCAAGATTTTCATGGAAGCTGAGAAGTGCAAATTCGAAGCCCTTGCTTCTTTCAATAGGATCCGTGACTGACGGGCCGCCAACAACGAGACGGTGCGCTTTAACGCAATCCAGCTCCTTCAGCTTCTTGAGCTCGCGCACGAAGGTATCCTTGTGTTCTTGTGTGACTTCCGGACGGAACTTGAACATAACTGCGAGTCTATAGTTAGTGCTCTGAGCTTTAAGAAACCTATGCTCTGATGCGTACCCATGTGAATGAGTGTCATTTTGGAGGCTGAAATGGGCTGTCTTGTGGTGATGGCAAAAATTTTGTTTTGAGATTTTGTTGTTCGAAATTTTAGGTAAGCTTAGCACGTCAACGTGGAAGATGGAATTAATTTCATATGGAAACAAAAAATCAATAGGAAGGATAGCCACGGTATTGAAGAATGGCAATCGGTGAGACCCGCCGAGGTAGTTGACATTGTGCAGTGTATAGTTCGCGGATCAATCCCGTGTCATGGGAACCGCCCGAAAGATGCGGTAAAACAATATGGGCCCCAAGCAGCGGCACAAGATTAGATGCCCTTGTTCAACCAAACAATGAACTGTGACAATGCTATTTGTCGTATATACGATATGCCGAGTCGGGAGACATCGAGGCTCTTTACACTTAGTACAGGACAATTTCCCGAGCTATTCGGCTTCGGGCCGACGGCTTTTGCCCGCCCCGGATATTCTTTCATCAGCCCATTCCCCAGCTATTTACTAGCGGGGTCGGCCATTGGGGAATTACTCCGAAATTGTTCCAGACCATTCCTGTCATGTTCAATGTGGAAGACTGGGCAGGTTTTTTTGTTCTTATTGGGGCTCATTACTGACTAATTCTCGCTAATTGTTTACACCTTGGTAATTCTGCAGTCAATGGGTATACTCACAATGCCAACACAGGCTCTGTAAGTCGGATCACCAGTGATTGTTGCGCTTGGCCTATTGCTTCCGGGCTTTTTCCCGTGTGTGACAGACGACCTTTATTTTGTTTTACCAACTATGAGCAGCATACGGCATTACTTTAGAATATTCTTTTCGTGTTTCCATCATCCTAGGAGACCAGGCCCTTGATTGTAGAAAACTCCTAGATATCAATTTAATAATCGTACAAGGTCGCCGGATTGCCAACCCAAAGCGCCCGCCACTCTTCTTCGGACATCCATTGACCCAGGGATTCAATCCAGCCCTTGTCATCCACCTTGAGGAATGCCTCCTCGCTCGAAGCTTCTTTCCCGATGCGGTCTTTGTGACGTTGAGTATGAGGCCAGTCACTGCCCCAAACTACCCGCTTCGAATTGGCATCGACGAAAAGTCTGACCAACCAGCGCAAATCCTGAAAACTGGGAGCCATATTCGAGCAGCGGTTTGGCGCAGAAAGCTTGATCCACAAATTCCCTTCTCTGAGCGTCTTGCAGAGCTCCTGGAGTCCTAGCTGTTCCTTCTCAGTAAGGTAGGAGCAATTCTGAATGTCAGTATTCTCGTCATCGGCGCGGTAGCTGCTCCCTTCAATCAGTGCAAAGTGGTCGACAACAACTGGGATCGGACTGTCGTTGATTATCTTTCGGAGTTCGTGCCAGAAATGGAGATGTGGTTGCTGGATCTGGATGCTCCAACCCGGGCGACCCCACTGCGCCAGTCGTCGAGCAGTGGCCTCAATCAAGCTGGTCTGAATCTTGACATCGTTCATGGCCTGGTGGCGGAAAAAGTCCAGGCGAACTGAGCGAACCCCGGCCTCATGATACGTATTCAGGAGCTCATCCGTGACGGTGTCAAGATCCAGGACACAAATCCCGCGGGCCGTGCCACCAAATTGACCAAGATAGTAGAGCAGAGAAGTGCAATCCGCTCCATAAGACAACCCGTGCGCGATGCAGACGTGCTCGACACCGATAGACTTCTCGAAGTCTCGCAGCTGTTCCAGAGACGCACGCGCCGGAGTAAAATGCCGTCCAGCAGCGAAAGGAAAGCGATCGGGCTCGAAGATATGATGATGCGTATCCCACGCACCAGGCGGCACTGCCTTGACTGGGAATTTATTCACTGCGTCAGACATGGGGGAAATGGGTGTCGGAATCGACCCGGTGTTCCAGAATGCGAACAAGACTATGTGGTTGGAGGGATTGAAAACACGTCTGATTTGCTTATTTTAACTTCAAGTGGTAGAGATGTCGTTCAAAAACCAAAGGGCAAATAGGGTACTGGAGTGGATGTGTATGTGCTTCAATGGTATAAGAGGCTATGTCGCGTGAGTCAACAAGATATCTCTCATAGTTACATGGTGGACCCGACGATTATCGCCTTCTGCTACTCCCTTCGGTCAGAGGCCGAAGAGGATGGCTCCACTTCGGCACATACCATAACCGACCGTTTCCCGACGGCCTATGCCCGAGTCAAATCAATGGTCATTAAAAAGCCTCTAACCAGCATGCCTCCACCCACCGTAGTTAATGAAACAGGGGAGCTCTTCTTGCCTTCATCATTGCAACAACCACAGCACCGGAAACTTCTACTCCAAATATGGCCGCCGATTCGAAAGTGATTATTGAGCGCCTGCAGAAGTGGGGCGCCTGTGATGTGCGTTAACGAAGATAAGGATCGCAGTGCACCCGAGGCTGACAGTTGTATAGGTTGCGGATGGTCTCTCCAAGCTCAAATATCCCAATGGAGGATTCCTGGAGGGGTTGACCATGTATTCGCCCGAATTCCAGGCAGGTGAGACCAAAGTCGTCGGTCAAGCCTTCACCGTGAAATTTGTTCCCAAGTCCGATGAAGCTGCACCGAAGTTGCAGGGTAACTATGTATGCATGAGATCGCCGGACTTCAACGTGGCTTACTCTGACCCACATCTGCTAGATCGATCAAATTCCCGAAGGCGGAGTAGTCTTCATCTCTCAGCCGCTTCCCCACGTTAACGCCGTCTATGGTGGCTTGATGACGCTACGCGCCCAGGCACTCAAGGCAGCTGCAGTTGTGATTGATGGTCGGGTCCGTGATCTAGAAGAGCATCGCTCCCTGAACTTTCCTCTTTTCGCCCGATCTGTTGGTACCACGGCTGGTGGAGAGGTCTGCCGCCCGTCTGAAATCAATGTTCCCGTTCGCCTCAACTCCGAGAACCAGGATGCCGTAATTTCTCCTGGGGATTACATTATCGCTGACCTCAACGGCGTGGTTCGCCTCCCTCAAGAACTGGCTGAGCAAGTATTGGAGCTTATTCCCGCCATCGCTGAGGCGGATGCCAAGTGCGCGGAGGCAATCAAGGCGGGCTGGACAGTGGAAAGAGCTTTCAAGGAATTCAGAGGCCGGTGAAATGGATCCAGATATGATAGAAATCCATTTGCAGGCAAATGCTTATCAAGGACATCATATCGGAAATAAGAGTTGTAGAAGAAAGAAAAATCCCGGATCGTCAACTAATTTGAACGGTTTAGGCAAAGTCATGGTCGGTGTATCGCAGTATAGAGGATCCTAGACCAATACTCATTGCAATGTATTTACACCTTCAGTCGCTAGTATCGAAAGTATTCAGCCTCTACAGGTATATTCATATATTTGTGTCTTTCTGTTCATCAATACAAAGATTACTTGCAGTTCATAAGGGGTATGAACGTAGTACTACCTAATATATATACCACAACTTGAAACGTGAATTCTAGATACAGATGACTCTCAGAGTACTAGATGCTAAATCGGGTCTTTGTTCAGCGGGTCTTCAGCTTCAGACTCTAGGGACGATAAACATAATCTGGCTGGTTCCTATAATTATAAGTGTACATGCTACTGTGCCCTTCATCCCACCGCCGACTGCTAATTACAAACTCGCAAGCGAATTATAGAAACAAGATAATGAAACAATGTGTGAAAGCGAGGTGACGCAAACTTCTTCCATAGAACCCCCCCAAATTGAACAACTCAGTCCCATTCCCCCAATGCCTCTTCAGATTTCGCCCTGAGTCACCTGCACCCGCGAATCCATTCTTCTGATAATCGCCCCCTCCTTCTCCCCTGTTCCCCACCAGAATCTTCTCTTCACTACTCAAGCTCAAATCCAAAATCCCATCCTCCCAATCCCAGCCGCCATACCCACACAATAATTCCGCAATTAGCGCCGTAGCGCCTCGGCGGAGATAAGTCGTGGTGGTCCTACTGCGTCACCCAGCTCAAATACCCTACTCCATCCCTTTCCTATCCCTATCCCGCATGCTTCCACTATGCTTGGTGGACCGACTCCGACCATTACCGTAGCCATGCATATTTCCACCCGGGGAAACATGATCGGTCGTGCTGACAAGACACGGCCAGTAGTACTTGGTAACCTTCTTAAAGGATGGGGTACAGACAGTACTAACAGCGATATTTAAACCCCCCACAGCATGTGGTGCCGCCAAATGATCAGGTTGGGATTAGAACAACAAGAATGTTCATGAAAAGATTAACAGTAGTAGTAATAATATCTAAGACTTCTTAGTTTATACAGCTACTAAGAATTGTTGATAAAATTTTATATCATAAGATTCTGAGTTAATCAAATACGAATTTAATGTTAAGCGTGTAATAGAATAATATAATATCACTGTTTATATTCTCTCGGTTCTTGATAGATAGGTAATCAAAGGATAAATAGAAGGAACTAATCCTTAGTGAATTTGACTAAATCTTAGTAGTCTTCTACTAGCTAATAGCAGACCTGATATCATTTATATGTTGTATAGAAAATATAATCAAGATAATTGTTCTACTTTAAATAAGAGAACTCCGCAGCTATCTAGGTAGAACTATATAGGAGGTAGAATATATGATGTTCAACCAAGGTTTTAATTTAATCATGCTGCTGTGCAATAACGCCAGTGCATCGCATATGCACTGCTAATAGGATGCTGGAAGTTTATATGGGGCAATTTCTTGGCACTGGAAAAATTCTAAAGTATTCAGTCAAGTACTTCGCAATACCTGTAAAGACCTATTTGTTATTGAAATAAAGGTTTGGGGTTGTTATTGCGATATCTCGTAGGCGGAAAGGTATCAGTCTAAGTAGGAGCTGCCTATCTTTAAGGACAATCATAGTTGTGGAGAGGTTGATGAAGTCTTGGTCGTGGGAGACGTTAGCACAGTGATTTCAGCTACTAGGTGCAACTGATATCGTATATATGTTCTCTAAAAATCTAACTTTACTTCTCCAAAATTTAGCTTGATATGTCTCTAATGAAAATATGAATCTGTTACCCTTACTTGTAAATTTTTAAAAAGACATAAGAAGTATATAACCTACTAACATAGATAAAACAGTTTACTTTCACCGCAGTAGTAAAGGATGTCATGAAGTATCATACTGAAGGCTGGGTTCGTAGATATAATAAAGATTACGGTGACACGATTAGGAGAGTATAATGTTGGTATAGGATATATTAAGATGATCATAATTTAAAATAGAGAGAAGATTTCTGAGCTCTGAGGTGACTCAGGAGATTGCAGCATTAATTTCTGTGATGATGATCCCAAGGTTGCCGGAGGAGGTAGCTAATTGTATCTATGACTATGAGTATATTAGTAGGGACAATGCATATGACAAAGCAGGGTTATTTGTGTATGAACAGTTAAGTGAATTCTTTGGGTTTGCTCTACTCTACCGTTTTACTATACACACCATAACTTCATCACCGTCGTCATCATCACCGTCGTCATTATAAATAGATCCAATCATCCACTTAAGCATCACCACTCTCAATAACCACCTTCACCACCGGCCTACCCTCCTCGTCCACTCCCTTACCCGACAGTCCAAACGCCCGATCGCCATCCGCAAGCGGCACCCGATGCGTCACTACCATCTTCTCTACGCGATCCATTTTCCCACTCGCCATCAGCTCAATCGCCGCCGGATACGCATACCCATCATACCGGAACACTCCCAGGATATCGACCTCTCTCAGTGCCGCCGCTCCCACAGGCAGCGTTTGCACGGGGTGTCCCATCCCGATCTGCACCAATACTCCACCCGCTCCGGCGGCATAGATGCCTGCCTGCACGCACGCCGGCACACCCGTGCAATCATATACGCGCGCATAGCCCGTCTTCTCCACACCCGCAGACTCCTTCAAGATTCCCGCCACACGCTGCGCATTCTGCAGCGCCCACGCCGTCTGCTCCGCGGCCGGCGCATCGCGGGATGGCGCGGGGTTCGCGGGATCCGCCTTGGGAATGAGAGTGGTTTTGAGACCCAGTCCCAGCTCGTCAGCAATAGCCAGTCGGGAGGCATCAATGTCCGCCACCACTATGGAGGAAAAGTTCTGGGAGGCGGCCAGCGCAGAGGCTAGGAGGAGGCCGATGGCGCCAGCGCCGAAGATTAAGGCGGCGGTGGGTTCGCCGAGGGACTGCGCCAGGGAGACATCCTCGGCGGTGGGAGGTCGGGAGCGGCGGATGGCGTGTAGGCAGACGGCGAGGGGTTCGACGAGGGCGCCGCCGGCGTAGGAGACGTGGGAGGGGAGCTTGTGGCAGAGGGAGGCGGGGTGGTTGGTACGTTCCATGAGGGTGCCGTCGAGATGGGGGAAGAGTTTCGCGCTGCTGCGGAACTTCATCTGAGGGCAGATGTTGTAGCGCCCTTGTTGACAGAGGGCGCATTGACGACAGGCAAAGCCGACTTCCAGGGCGACGCGGTCGCCCACGGCGTGGGTGGTTACCTCGGGGCCGATGGCTGTGACGATGCCGGAGGATTCGTGGCCCAGGCACATGGGTTCGCGCACCACGAAGTCTCCATTGCGCCCGTGGGTGTAGTAGTGCAGGTCGGAGCCACAGAGACCAGTGGCGCGAATGGCGACTTGGACTTCACTGCCGGTTGGAGGGGAGAGAGGGCGCGATTCCTGGTTTTTGTTAAGAGATGTTTCTGAAGATCAAAAGAGTAGGAAAGTGGGGTGTGGGGAAGCTCTTACTAGGCGGAGATCTTTGGCGCCGTGCAGGACGAGGGCTTGGGTAGTTTCTGTAGAGTTGACGGTCATGATGGATGTATGAGAGAAGTTAGAATAGGAAGGAGGAGTGTAAAAAAGAATGAAAAGAGAAATGGAACTCAATACATGACGTGGGGGAAGAAATTGTAATCTTTTGAATGAGAAGTAATGGATTCAGTCGCCGGAGGAGCTCCGCGTCGGCTATTGACTCCTACCCGGTCAATAGCCGACGGCCTCCCAAATTGGATGGCCGACCCCGCATATCCTCTTTTCTATCTGGTTATTGCTGTATTATTGCGTTATTATCGCTGGATGATATCTTTCTAGATTACATAGTAATCAAAACTCACCCCCCACGCCAAATGGTGGATCTACCTCCACCGGCCATTCATAAATGCCCTGATTAATCGGATATTCCCCGTTGTATATCCCTCACTTCTTTTCTCTTTTCTTCTTCTTCTTCCTTTCCTTCCCCTCTTCTCCCCGCAGGATACTCTTTTCCTTGACATCATCGCCATCATGCCCGCCGCATTGCTGATCGGTGCCATCACCCATTCCATCCCCGAATGGAATGATCTCTCCTCTATTCTGACCTTGAAGGAATTCCCCTCCGGGACTCGCGAGGACTTTCTCCGAAACTGTCGCGACGGCCAGTACGACGATGTTGTTGCCATCTATCGCTCCAATACTTCTACGAAGGTGGATAGACTTCATGACGATAGACTTAAGGAAATAGCTAAAGCGCTTCAGTTCACCGGCCCTTTCGACGCAGAACTAGTTTCCGTCCTGCCCTCCTCACTCAAGTACATTGCCCACAATGGCGCTGGCTACGATAACATCGATGTCGCGGCCTGCACAAAGAAAGGTATACACTGCCTTTCCTCCTAGCATGACTCACACTAACCATCCCAGGAATCGCCGTCTCCAGCACCCCAGTCGCAGTTAACAACGCCACCGCCGACGTGGCTATCTTCCTAATGATTGGCGCGTTGAGACAGGCATATATTCCTGTCTCGTCTCTCCGCGAAGGTGAGCCCTGCCAACTCAACCCAGTAACAACTCCATCTAACTATGCAATAGGAAAGTTTCTCGGTCAGACAGGCCTCGGACACGATCCCCAGAACAAGGTGCTTGGAATTCTCGGTATGGGAGGAATCGGCCGTGTAAGTCCAGCACACAGGACCGGAGGAGCATTATATTAATGAGTTGTAGGAGGTGGCTCGTCGTGCGCGTGCCTTCGGAATGACTATCCAGTACCATAACCGGTCGCGTCTGTCCCCGGAACTCGAGGACGGAGCGACCTACGTCTCGTTTGATGAGCTGCTCGCCAATGCTGATGTGTTGAGTTTGAACCTGGCGCTCAACGCATCCACTCGTCACATTATCGGCAAGTCGGAATTTCAGAAGATGAAGGATGGAGTCATCATTGTTAACACGGCGCGTGGAGCGCTGATTGATGAGAAGGCCTTGGTTGAGGCGCTGGAGTCGGGCAAGGTTAGTTAAATTCTTCTTCGGAGGCAAGGGTAACCGGGCTAATGTGATGACTTAGGTATGGTCGGCTGGATTGGATGTCTACGAGAATGAGCCCGCTATTGAGCCGGGGTTGGTGAACAACCCCCGGGTCATGCTGTTGCCGCATATTGGTACCATGACTTATGAGACACAACGGGAGATGGAGTTGCTCGTGTTGAATAACTTGCGCTCCGGCGTGGAAACGGGGAAGATGATTACGTTGGTACCCGAACAGAAGGATGTGTTTGGGAAATAGATGTATTGTGAGAGACACCAACTTTACCTAGATATTGTATAGATCGGAGTATTTCATACCCTAAAGACTACATCCTCTGCATACTACAGCTTCCCCCAGATTGGGCTCATATTAAACTCTCACTCTTAGAAAGAACTTGCCCTCAGCTCTTTCGACCCTCAAATTTGAGCACTTGATGACGCTATGCTGATATCCTCACCCCTCCGTCATGGCTACACAATAGCTTATGACCACGACTACCAGCTAACCACACTTCGCATAGACTTGACACTAGTTACTACCAGACCATTCTTCCAACTACTCCTTCGAATTAGTATACTCTCTTTCTATATATCCCCATACAACCACTCATTAACTACCTATCCTTACGCCATCCATCATGAGCCCCAAAAGACCCACTAGGGCAACAGCGACAACCAAACCCCAACCCCAACCCGTAACCTCAGGACGCATCACACGACTTCGAAAGCCTCACCCTACAAAGATCACTACCTTCACCCGTATAAACAATCCCGCAGCGCATACCAACTCATACCCTCACCCGGAACGCCAAGAACAAGAAACAGAAGGTCACCCCCCATCCTGGGCTGATGTACACATACCCTACCGTCCCCGCCTCCTAGAGCATACTAACTCAAAAACCATGATCAGAATAGACCCGAACTCTGCGACGCCCTGCCCTGGTTCCGTTCCGTGCAAGGCGGAGTCTACCACAACGGGAACATATGCTGGGGGTTCCTGATCGATGCGGACTGCGGGATACGATCGTATTTGGATGATGAGGTGGTCATTACTCGTGTGTATGTTCATCTCTTCTCTTGAATCTCACATTATGTGGTAACAGAGTCTAACAATATCATGTCCAGCGGAGGCGGCTGCACCAAGGATGCAAACGGGAACTTAAAGCTCATCAAGGACCAGGATGGCAATAGTGCGGCGATGAGCAGTATACTGAATAGTATGAAGCTAAACGTCCCAGTGGGCATTGTTATTGGTGAGTAGGCCGTGCCGCATTTCGCATTGCAATGTTGATAATCATACAGGAAACCGCAATACCCTCCTACCCAGATCCCTCCCGCACCGATACAACGTCATGGCGTATTTCCGGATCACACACGTGTGGTACGAACGCATCGGCAGAAGAACAGGTGCGAAGGTCCGGTTCGAGAAGCTAGATCTGGGTAGTAAGAGCTGGTGGGCTGCGAAGCATTCCCCCTCTCCCCTGGAGAGGAAGAAGAGGGATTATGCGATGCAGGCAGAGCAAGCCCGCTGCGAAGCGTGCGATCAGCACAGCATACGCATATACGATGAAGGATGGATGTGTCTGCAGCCATCTTGTAAACTCTTCTGGATGATCAGTGGCTCGTCTTCAGCACCAGCGGATCTCATCTTCCACGAGAAATTCCTCAAATCCCGTCTCCCTCCGGACCCAACTATCCAGCCACATTATAGCCTCGTACCGGACTTACTTTCCACATTGAAAGATGCTGATAGCGATGCGTTGTCGAAGAGGATTACTTGGAAAGGGATCATATGTCCCCTCTGCAAGCGGTGCATTTCCCGGCGGTATTGGTGGGGATGGCGATGCGCGGATGATGATTCCGTCAGGGACAGGGACGGGGAGTGGAAGTGTCCCTTTGAGCACATTCTATCCATACGACCTATCGCTCTGCGTTGGGTGATCGATGACATAGAAATAAGCCCTATTAAGCGTGCGCTTAGCTGGGACGCGAAGTTCATGGTTCCGGAGGTTGACGATGTATCTCTTTATCCGTATAGAAAACTTACGTATACTATCCCCGAGGTGGGGAGCATTATGCATTTAGTTGCGAATCGCGAGATAAATACCCGGCGTAATGGTCCGGATGAGCTGTTTGGACAGTTGCAGTGTGAGGAGCTAGGGTTGAGGAGGTATCCGTTGGCGCAGAGTGTGGGTGAGCTATCTACCTTCTTGTCTATGCGGATGAAGGATTGAATGCTAATAGTGTATGTAGTTGCCGGGACGCTGACTGCTCATTTCGCTGTTAATTATGTGCGTTCATAACCTTCCTACCATTCGCACACCAGAACCTAATTCAAAAATGAAACAGGGCATGCCATACAAATACGTCGTCTCCGTCTCCTCAAAATCCTTCAAGGAAGCCTGTCCCCCAATTCTGCGAGCCATGGGCCGCCTAACCTGGGCCAGCAAGCAAGCCCATCTCGCCGCGGGGGATACCTTCCTTCCGCCAAATGAAATGCTCCTGTTGGGGTATCTGGAGGATATGAGAATCGGGGTACGTACATCTCTCCCTTGCCCTCTTTCCGGGGCATACAAAATCTCCGTCCAGAAGAATATTCACTCTATGGATAGTACCACGACGACGGCGAATCCTCCCTCGGCCCAACAATCTCCACCCTCTCTTTAGGCGCGAAATCTACCATGCTCGTGCGCATGAAATACAAATACTACCATGGCTACAGCAGAGCGAAGAAACTGCTCGAAGAGGATCCGGTCTTGCCTGGATGCAAGTATTTTCTCCGGCGGAGGGAGCTCAAGGCGGGGTTGCTGAGTGGGAGTATTGATCGCGAGGGGTATGATGAGTTGAGGCGTGAGGGACTGTTGAGTATGAAGAAAGGTGGTACTGGTGGAGGAGGGGAGGCGACGCCGTGTATTAAGATGGAGGTGAATCATGGTGATTTGGTGGTCATGACTGGGGAGGCATTGCAGAAGTTTTTTGAGGTATGATTCATTCCTTCTTTTTGCTCTCTGTCCGTCTCGCTCTATACATTGTCGGTTTATGGTTGTTGGGATGCTGATTGTGTAGCATTCGGTTATTCCGGATAAGAGGTTGAGGTTTGCGTTGACGGCGAGGTATATTAAACCCGAGTCTGTGGGGATCCAGGAGATGGAGAAGGGAAGATTGGAGTTGGGGAGGGAGTGGGCTTATGATGGGAAGTAGGGGACACTCCTTACTTGGTGGTCAGATAGTTGGGTTGGATGGAATAGCTGCTTTTGGCTTGCTTTATACGCGTTGCTGAGCTCTGGGTTATACTTATATAGCATCTACTTGCTAGGATGCACGAATCAAGTCTAGACAGTTCATTGTCTAACATAATCTACTAATATAACGCTCGAAAGTAGATAAAACAAAACACCAACAGTGGATATATATACACTTCGCTTAATTTTCAACCATCACCCATTAATCAAGCACTTTTCTTGTTGGCCTTCTGAGCCAACAAGTTCAACGCACTACCGGCCAGGACAAAAGCACACTGGTCCGGACTGAGAGTGTGCTTG